TAATCAACCATTTTATCAATCACTTTATATCATCACGCCCAAATAAACAATCCTTTAAAAAGGCCCATGTTCCTCAGTTTCTCGCTTCCTCAGTTTCTCAGTTTCTCACTTCCTCAGTTTAGTTCCACACTTGGCTATCTTAACTTCATTTCGTCTCGACTGTTGTATTATTCACTGTGTTTGTCAATAAAGAATCTCAAGAAATCGCTTTGTTTATAACGTCAAAGGGAAATCCCATTCCCGCGTATCAAATCCAAACCCTCAATCAAAACAACCCACATCGACTCAAAGCAATCAATCGATTCAAGCTAAACCAAATCAATCCAAACCAGATTCCACAACACGGTCTAAAAATTACACATTCTTTTTAAATATTGCTCTCCTTAAAAAATTGCAATTTAATAAAAATATATAACAGAATTGGGCCGAAAGACTAAAATAAGTGAAGTAGATGAATTAATGGAATATTGGATATTGAAACAAGCAATCTGAAAATTTTGTATGATTTGAATTATTTATTGAAGTATCAAAGCAGTTTTTCCTGACTAGTCTGCTAAAGAAATATGACTACATATCCTGCAAATTGTCTCTCTGTCCAGCTTCGAATTCATAAACAGGTGAGAGAACAGAAGAACTAACTCTCCTTGGACATGTTAAAAAATATTTTCGCCACCCCTTTCAATTAAAAAAATGATGCTTGATAAAATCGAAAAGTGCAGTTTCAAAACAAGTAAGGCGAATCGATGACTGCGGCACCAATAGCTACCCCTCCTTTGTCGACGTCTTTACTCTTACTTCGGATGATATGTCCACTAACGTAATTCTTCATGATCTTTTCTGCTGAGATGTCAACAACAGCAGGTGATCCATAAAGATAAGCATAAATTCCTAATTCTCCTACAACATCCATTATAATCGGTTCCTGTTGTGGTCGAATCACGTAGTTCTGAAATAGTGCTTTGTATATGAATGATATTGAATTATTTTCTATTTATAAATTTATCTCACACAATCCGTAATCCTTTACATTTTACAGGGCTTATGATTTCATACAGATATCTAAATCAACTCAGGTATAAAGAATTCAAAACACCGTTTCACCTTAACAACCATCGGGGTGATACGTTCCATAATTATGTGGGCCGCCATTTCATCCCTACTTATTGTTTTCAACTTTTCCGCAACTTCTTTACCATAATAATTACCACCTCCACCTTCCAGTTGAGGTTTCAGAACGAATTTTTCTGGATGTTTAATTGCATCCTAAAAATAATTTTTGTATTATTTGTTTTGGCCGATAGCGGATATATAATACATGAAGATTACTCACATCCACAACAGCTATATGTTATTCAGCTTGGGAGAATCGCTAATACGGCCAATATAATACCATTACTGATTCAGGCAGAGCAAAACTTCATTGTCAAATCAGATGTGAACATTCTACTAATTTCCAGATAATATTGTCAGAAACTATGACACATTATGCCTGAAATGCAAAACACTTGAAAAGCTTATCTGAATTATCTTTTGTGTTCTATCATCATCATTTTCCAGTCCCCACATACAAGCAAATGTTTTTCGAATCCTCGCGCATATTCCATTATCAGTAATGTACTTTTCCAAAACACCATTTTCGGACAAAACCTGCAAAAAGGAAAGCAATAATCCCAGCAGAAGATAAGCTACAACAATTACGGAATTTGCAGCAGATGTGAAGATAATAAACAGTTAACGAATTTCACCTGTTGTACTTTCTTGGTATTTGCCAGCTGCAAACCAATCCAGGGACATTTCACAGCATCCGACAATTCGATGATACGACGAACAGTCCATTCTGTTTCCGTTGGATAATTGCATGGTGAGTAACCGGCTCGAAAATATACAACTGCTACACGCCATTTGTTATCCAATATAAGATAATGATTGGTTTCGTTCATTTTTAATCTTTAATAAATCATAGAAATTTAAAGGAAACTTACTGAAACGAAAAGCAGGCAGGCCAATTTGTTATCATTTAATTTAGTCAACCTCTTAAAAGTAAACGAGAAGAAAAACCATATCACCTAAGAAATTTAGATCAAAAATAATATTATACTTTATGGATTTTTTCTCATTTATTCATTAATTTTCAAATAGTAGGAGGAGGCTTGATAAAAAATAATAAAATCTCATTATAGAATAGAGTAAAAAGTCACTATAAAATGTCTGAAATTTGCCTTCACCTCTTTGCACCATCAGTTAATGTGATACGAAAACATCGTGCACTTCTACTGCTGAGTTCATCAATACGATATTCCACATGTCTTTGATCAATTTGATTTTGATTAGCATCTTCAACGACGAATAATACAACTGCTTCTGGTTCTCCATAATCATACCTGGAGTCAACTTTAAAAAATTCGAATGTTTGCTAAAGATATTTGAAGGGACAGAATTTCTTATTGTTTCAACTTATGCTTACTTTAATTAGGCTTCTAATTGCGGTTGTGAATGCGTAAGCTGTATATTAACAATGCCATCACAGTAAATGACCGGATAGCTCACTGATGATTCAAATTTTTAATCTCAGGAAAAGATCCTAGCCAAATTTTATCAAACAAATTATTAAAATTTACCACGCTTCATAGATTCCTCTTGCAATTGTGACTGTCGGGTGATTATCCAGAATAGCCTTTTGAATAATTTTAGTAGGAAGTTGTAATGTTTCCAAGGTTCTTCTATGCATGCAGGTAGCACGTTCCGCAAGTGAGCCCATACTTGCGGCTATATTATTCACTTCAATCTGAAGTTTCAATTTTTTAAGTGAATGTTTCCTTTAAAACCTTCCTCTGTTAGGAAGACTTATATACAAAAATTTAAGTAAAGTAAGATTTACAATTTATAACAAAACTTCTTGGATTGAAACATTAATTTCGTTTTATCTACTGTTATCACTGCGATGAAAAAAAGTAAATTGCAATTTTTAATCATTGCGACCCACTAGCAATAGTGCCAAATCAAAAATAAGTACAATAAACAAATTAATCCGAATAAACCTGTTTTAAAGAATGATTTCCATAACTGTCTTCATGACACATATAATCATTTCTCTGTATTAGCAACGTCTTTCTTTGACAAAAGTCTGCGATGCGAACCGCATTTAGGATTTCCACAAAATGCCTAGAAATGTTGATAAATTCCGGAAACAAGCACAAGACATCCATGTTTAAATACTTAGAATATAGTTATAACTTATAAATTCCAGAAATGAAGTGTGTTAAACAAATCCATGCAAGATAATTCTTAAATCTCTTTATCTTAAAAAAAAAAAGGAAAGAGAAAAATAGGCGGTTTACCTTGTAAAATCATCAGTTTTCACCACCTCAGCGTGTGATTTAATCAAGAAGTCAAAATCCCACGATACGCGAAAATACAACACATTGAATGCCTGTAAAATTAATTCTTTGACTACTATAATTAATAGTAACTCAGTGGGATACTTTCTAGAAATTTCTGAAGACATATTTCCAATTCTAATAAGAATAATATACCTGTTGAATATCCATAGCTTCTTGAAATAAGCTGGAAGGAAACGGTGAAGGGAAGAGGGTACAGGGCGCTGTTTGGCATATATCACTACGATCGGAAGCTGTTGCTGTTCTCATCACCATACCATTCGCCTGCAATGAAAAATTGAACCATTTTACAAACATTTTAAGATTCAAATCCTTTTTTCCATTTCGTGAATTTCCATCCTTAATTTATAATTTTACATATGATATTATGTCACGTTAAATTAGACGTAAAACGTGACACCACAAAAATATTAAAAGAGAAAGATTAACTGGAAAAATGAATAATAACACTAACATGTGCCCAATCAACAGTATCCTCAACTATTTGCTTGATCAATTTGTCATCAATGATTTTCAACTGCGGGTAATATTCCAATGTAGAATCGCCTTCACTTTTGACAGACATTTCATCCATTTATTGATCTTTCTAGCCAATTAAATCCAATATGATTTCCGTAGTGAACGAAAAACTATTAAATTAAAGTGATATAAACAAACAACATAAACAAATTTCAGACCAAAATCTTACCTGTAAGAAAACTGCTCGAAATTGTGATATAATTTGTCCTAATCAGCTTATCAAGCTTTATCATGCCACGTTACACAAAATTATTATATCATACCTCCTCTCTATTTCCTCTTTTCATTTTCTATCCTTTCTTTACATTTAAAATTGTTCTAAATATCCATATAGGTTCTTCTTAAATTGAGATTAGTAATTATCTTAATTAAGATAAGACATGTTTACATTTGAAAAAAAACGAAAAGGAAACTTCGACAGTTTTGCCTAATAGATTTTATCTTCATATATTTTCTGTTGTTAGATTTAACCATCTAATAAGTTAGCTTCAAATATGAAATGTTCATCTTCTAAAAGCATCTTTCAAGATATGCTACTTGTTCTAACTTTACATTTTAAAAGCATTAGTAAATTTCGAAAAATATTTTCTAAAGAATTATTAAATTTAAACTTATTTAATAAAATTTATTATTGTAAGTTAAAGAAAAATTTTAAACAAACTAAAAACAAACTAAAAGAACAAACTAAAAAAAACTAAACAAATTAAACAAACTAAAGGAAAAAAATGGAGCTACCACAATGTCATCGTACACAATCACGAAATTAAACCAATCAACCAACTATTTTCAGTCGTAATTTAAAAAAAAAAAAACAATTTTAGAAAAGTAAACGATTTGAAAATTTTAACGTCTCAGTAAAATATTGAGTTTGACAAATGACCATCGGTAATGAAACAGCAGTGATGATCGATTACATACGGATATGATCATCATAAAATGGCAAAACATACGTACACATCTCAATTGACCATTTCCTCATTTGAAATTACTTCAAATTTCTGCAACTTTCCAACTGAAGATATTGCTTTCAGAATTAGGGAAATAAAGATAAACAGTTCGAGAAAATCTCCAAACTCGCTGACCTATCTGCTTCTCACATTCAACTCCTTCGTCAAAAAAAAAATTATTAATGAAGAAAAAAAGAAAGCGAAATGAAGCAGTACGGTTTCTTTTTCAAAATTTTCTGTAATACAAAAATATTTCTTGCAGGTAATGACTAATTCATTCACTGCATGTTACAACTATCATAGTATTTGTTGCATTTTTAAGATTATTGACGAAGGCATTTTCATCCAACATCGGAATTGTTTAGCATTCCGTCAAATATTTCCTTGAGGTGAATGTTGACGTAATTAACAATTCATTTTCTTCCACTGTTTCTCCATTTTAAATTCACCATATAGCCAAGGAACAGTCAAATTTAACTCGCACGTTTCATCGAGTATTCAATTCAGCGACAATGCAAATTGTTATTCAGTTAAAGCAATTCCTAAAATGATAGTATTGAATTTTAAAAAGACCGGTTGTGTTTATTTTGGTAAATGATTAGTAATACATGTGAGATTCAGGCTTAAATTTAGCGCAATTCAGTGAAGCATTCAAAATAAATTTTATAATTTCCTTTTTTTTCTACAACGAATCAAAATTAAAAACGCATTGAAAAATTTATAGAAACGAATTTGGAAGAAATAGTTTTGCGGTGGTAAATCGGAAGAGAACTTTTATGTCGAATTTGCTACAGTATTGTTGCAGCCAAGGATAAAAATAAAATAAATTAAATTACAGTTGAAAAAAAAGGAAAAAAATAGATATTGAATTTAGAGAATCACATTATTAGTTCTGGTCTTGGCAGTCGATACATTAAGCTTCTCTGAAACTTATGATGAGTGCAAATCCATTGTTAATATCACCAATATCAAGTCATTAAAATATGAAAAAAAAATAACAAAGCTGCAAATACTACGCGCTAATTATAATTATAATCAAGCTGATGAATAAAGTTTAATTGTTAACACTTGGTAAATTGTTTAATTTTAGCTATTCTTATATTTTCATATAATTTAGCATGATGTGCAATACTTATTGATCATCCCATCTTCACAGTTACAGCTATAAGATGGACTACAACTGAACATTTTAGAATTTCAAATGTATAAATAATTTTTAAGAAAACTTATTTGTATACGAAGCAATTTGTTACAATTGTCTTTCCCACTATAAATTGATATAAAATCATAACATATCACTCAACAATTCATCGCAATCAAAATGAAGTCAGAAATCCAAAAAAATGCCATTACATTGTGGAGCTGTAACGCAAAAAGCGCTAATTACGGTCTAAAATTGCCTTACGATTCAAATTGTAGTAGAATGACGCTTAATTGTGTAAAAGACGAAATGAAATCAGTAATATCACGCTACGTCAAATGACTTATTTAATTCTTTAGTGAGACTTTGCTAATAAATTTATTTAAATCATAATTATTTTCCAAACAATTGTATGGCATTTCAACTGTACATATTCTACTGCAACCTTTCAAATCCGATGATTGAATGAAATTTCTCCCACATTTCGAACAATTGTTCATCGATATGAGTTCACATCTGTTTCTCAAATTCGACATTAGTTTTTGAAAAACAGTGCTGCATTGTAATTTTTGTTCATCACATGCTCCTTGCATTAGTCAGTTTAATAATTCTGTTTGTCCTTTATTCGTTTCTTTAATTAATGAGTCCAAATGTTCGAAATATTACACTGTAATTTTTTTAAAATTTTTAACGAATTTCCTATGATTTAAATATTTGATGAGAAAAAGAAGAGGACAAAATAGTCGATGAAATACATACTGGTGAGAAATTTATGCAAAGCAATGACAATATTTCTTGCATAATTTCATTTCATTTTCATATTTTCAAAACTGAATTGATATTAGCAAGAAGAAAAATCTATTGAATTTTGTAATTTATGTCATTTCAAGATGTATGGTTCTAAAAAAATATATTATTGATTCTCTCTTTGAAAAGAATTTTTAATAAAAGGGGGGACTAGAAATAGCAACAGCAAAAAAAAATGTTTTCATTGTAATTCTTCAATATGGCAAATTAGATCGAAATATTAATTGCAGTCGTAATTAATATCTCTGATCAATCCTAATTTCATGAAAACGATATTTAGAATGTTGGAAACCGGAAATGGAAAAGGGTTCGTTTGCTGATTTGCTAAACATAATTCGTTTACGTGACTTTACATGCTGTCAATAAATATGCATCGTATGTGAAGCCGCGTGAACAAGAAAGCAAAAGCGTTAAAATTTCTCAAAAAAATAAAATCGCAAATATAGCAAGTTCATATCGTAAAAAATATTATCCTAAAGCAGAAAATAAGTTAATACCATTAAAAATTATGTGACATCATGACAATTGTTTCTGAGAGCGACTTTGAATGGTGAAACATGAAGTGGTTTCAGTTCTGAATAGTTGAAAAGCTTCTTGCGGGGAAAAAGTTAATTTTGACGAAATGCATTTTCTGCTGCAAGTTAAATTGCGGCAAAGTTTGAATTGTTTTAACCTCTGCATTACAAAAGCTTTGACCGAAACCTTTTTTTTTTTGTTATTGCAGTTTAAACAAGATTGTGTATTATTATTGGTTCTAATTTTACGAAATATTTTTTCGAAGGGACATTCATTAATATATTTTTTCAGGCTTATATAAAAATCAATAATATAAAATGTAACTTCAGTTTTGAAAGTATGGAAATGAAATAAAATAGTGCGAAAAATGTTGCCAGTACTTTGCATAAATTATTTACAGTAATTGAAATGAGATGAAATTATTCAATGTGAAGGATTATACATCAATTGGTATTGTTTTATTGTTACACGTAGCTTATAAATACATGTGACGTATCACTTTCATTTATATCAACATTTAGGGGTACAATCCTTTAACAATTCCCAATAAATGTTATTGGTGATCGCTGTCAAACCGTCTTCCACAAATTCTATTCGATAAGTATTATTTCATTCATTTTAACAAGAAATATCAGTCTCTTTTCAAAGTGCTTTGCGTTATATGAAAGATTTTAGAGCTTCACGATAAACGCATAATTAATCACTCTTTTTTTGAAAACAGAATTGTCGTTTTTGTAAAATTCA